CCACCCACCCCACACACACTCTCTTCCTCTCGAGGTGCGTCTCTGGTATGCGCGTGCATGCCCTCACCTCGTACCCGTCGCCGTTGGCCTTGAGGATGTGGCCCCCAAAGTACACCGCGCCGTAGCCCGTGGCCTCAGGGCGCATCAGGGAGCCGCCCCACGCGGGCGCCTTGCCGGTGAGCACGCCGGCAAACTCGTTGGACAGGCGCTGGTTTGGTTTGGGGGAGGGGGGGGGAGCGGGCCAGTTTTAGAGGATTAGCGCACATGTTGAAGGTTGAGGTGTGAAGGCGAACCCTTGGTGTTGGTGGCGTGCGGCAGAAGGGCTGACTAGGCATGAGCACATGAGGGTGCGGTGGTGGGGGAGAGGCGCCGCTTCGTGGCCGCCAGCCAATGGCTGCGTTCCCAGCAGAGACCAAGGCAGCCAAGGGGCCGTGCGACCCCGCAGCATTCCAGCCCTTCCAATGCTCTGCCCATGATGCAGGCGGCCAGGGCTGCCCAAATGCTCACCTTCCACTGGCCAAACAGGAAGCCGATCTGTTGGGGCGAGGGCGAAACAGGTGAATCCAGCAGAGGAGGGTGCGTCGGCAGAGGGCGATAATGCAAAGACCAATCATCCATCCGTCCTCGGATGATGTGGGCAAGGTGTTTGCAGTTCGACCTGGGCACCGACAATGTAAAGTGCACATTGCATTGTGCGGATGCGCCGGCTGGGACTCTGCGCGCCTGCACCGCTGCCCCCCTCCCCCTTGGCAGGTCCCCCCGCGCCGCTCCACAGTGCCGCACCTCGCGGCCACCGACGCCGATGTCGCCGGCGGGAACGTCGGTCTGGGGGCCAATGTGCCTGTCAAATGCAAGGCAGCGTTGGGGTGGGAGGGCATTGGCGGGCTGAGAGTCAAGTCAACACTAGGCACGTGGATGCGCTGCATACCAGCATGTGCCTTCAGCTGCATGCCTCGTCTCTTATTCCTCTGCCAATTCCATTCCTCTGCCCATTTCAGGGGATGGAGAGCTGCTGGACAGGAGGTCCGGCGGACAGAGGAGCTGCTGTGCGGCCCATGCATGTGGCCAGATTGTGTGCAACAGCGCCCACCTGTGCAGCTCGGTCATGAAGGACTGGCAGAATCGCATGACCTCGGCGTCACTCTTGCCGCGGGGGTCAAAGTCGGAGCCGCCCTGCAGGAGAGGGGGGCCGGCGGGGCGGACTGGCTGGGCGCTGCGCACGGCCCCGAGCGTGCGCGTGCGCAGCACCTGTGTGGCAGCCAACGCCTCTCTTGCCACTGGTGTCTCAATGGGTTTGCACAACCTGCCGCGACTCTCAGCCCTCAAAGGCCCCCTTCCCCCTTGCCACACACACCAACATACACACACACACACACACACACATTCGTACCTTGCCGCCGCCCATGGGCAGGGTGGTGAGGGCGTTCTTGAAAATCTGCGCGGCCAGGCGTGCACCGAGTGGCGGTTCGGGTGCGTTGCATAACAGGCCGCAGAGTCGAGGATCCGTTTGCAAGAGAGTGAGGCTGGGGCC